TCTATTACGACAAAGAACGTTAACCCAGGGCCGGTCTCCCCGACAGGACAGCCAGACGGACCGCCCATTACAGTGGGTCCTGACTTCTTTTAACGTCATTCTGGCCAATGCGTGAGTTTCGTAAAATTTCATCCGTGCATTTGTTTCTATTGGACCACCTGGCAGTTTCTTCATCAGCTCCTCATGAAGAAATAGTATTTTGACTTTGTTGGGAGCACTCTCCCTAGAAGCAAGGGTATATCTATTAGATATCTGGTGGATATCTATTTTTCGAGATACGCGGAAACCGACGGAAGCTGCAGGTGTAGCTTTCATTTCGCCACTGTGCCTAACACGATGCCCTTAAATTTTCCGATTTTTATCTCATCCCGCGCCTACAAACCCATGCATTAAGTTTACTATGAACGCTCCCGATCACTAGCGATCGGCGTATTAATACGCCGCCGTATATGCATATGAAGGACGAGTAAGGTTTTTGAAGACATAAAATTTGGAAAATGCGTACTGAAAAAGACCGTAAAATAGAGAAATATGTACATATATTCAACCGAGCCTCTTCGGGCTTTCAAGGTAATTGGTGCCGAGGCCTTGGGGGCAAGTTGAAGTTGATCCCGAGGATGGACCAGGCGTTTATTCCACAAAGCGGACGGAAATTTGTGATATTTTCTGCTCATCCCATACCTCACGATTTTTTGCAGCGTGATATTTTTGCACGTTTCCCGAAGCAGTCTAATGATCGCTTCAGTCGCCTCCTAAAGGCTGGCTCTAACTGGGACAGCGTGGCATTCCCAGTACCGTTCCAGGACGCAAATACCCCTGTATATGACGAAGTGACTTTCGTAACACATGCGTACCAGTTATTACCTCATAGACCTTTGACCCGGAGAGGCCATCCTTATTTTACGTCCCTTGAAGTTGACATAGACGCTTGTCTAAGCTGTGTGCAACCCGAAAACCAAAACCGACTAACTGATTGAATTTCGAAATTTGCAATTTACTGAGCACAAGCAAATGAAAATTAAACAGAAAATGTGTATTTCGCATTCCGATAATGGAGAATTTTTTGGAGTGGGACAGTTTCCATCTCATTCAATACGGTACATATTTATATACTGGCCCATAGAAATGGTAGGACTAATGTGGCGGTTGAGCAAGCTACCAAAGACAAAAATGTCACACATGCTTAACACAGACCCCTACATGAAGAGTTTGCTACGTAATTATGCTATTTGCGGCTGCTAGGTGCATTGCTGGGCCTAAAAAATAGCACACTTGACCCGAAAAACTTCTGAGGCGTCCAAAGAGACTGCAAGCATGACTGAAGTGGAAGAATTTGTCATGAACATCATCATTTAACCTGGCTACTGTCTGAGGCTTTCTGTATGCGGTCTTTTTCATATCGAGCTGACATCTCTTGTTGTGTAACCGTGCATATTTCCAAAACCCTTAGTCTTACAAACGGGACATGAAGCTCATACAGAAGACTAGTGCCCCGGGGAGATGTGTCACCCAGATGTGTACTTGAAAAATCATTGTCCAGATTGTGGAAGGCCTATCAACTCTGCTGCGGTGGACCGTTTATTCGCTATAAGTTCCCTTTTCTCATACGCGAGAAGTCGTCTAGTCACTTGACGCTCCATTGATAGGTACTCTGAAAAGCAAATTACCCGCTCGTTGAGACAGTTTGTTGCTCGGCTTCAGAGGGCATTGGTGACTCTGACCATGTTAGCGTGGGGCTCAATTACGAGTTGAACTAATCTTCGTCGAAAATGTGCGCCCCGCGAGGAAGTGCGGTGTCCAGTCTCAAGAACACTGCCGTCCCCTCGCCACAATAACTCAGGAAACAGTCATTTTTGGTGTGTTTTTTCTCAAAAGCAACTGGTTTGGACTGAAGCATTCACTTAGGGATATCTTTTTGTATTGAACCTCTGTTAGGACGGTCCGACTGACTGGTAGTGCAAGGTCTGCTGCCACTCAGGGCCATCCTGCAAGGCATGATCGCAACGAAGTGTAGAGTAAATTACCCAAAATTTGTCTGCATTTAAGCCAACTCTGAGATTAGATGGTAGTGCTTTCTAAAGGGGAACCGGGCTGTTTGCGTCAATCATAAAAGAAAGTCGAGATACATTCATGGCCTCACTGTTCTCCACATTAGTGGTAGAGTACGCAATCCATTTATCTTATAAACTTGGCAGGTTTGATCATCATCCGTTTTTCAATTTCGTGACGCCCCGGCACCAAACTGCAACTAACCGTCTGTCCTTCAGCAACTTCGCAGTTGAAACACGAAGCATCCAACAGGGTCTGTCTTCCAGCAGCAATCTACAAGTTCTCTATTGGAAGTACCAGCTGATAGATCGCACTGTACCCAGGATAATATTTAAGAAACATGTATCGCACCAATGGATTTGTGTGGCGCTAACTTTACGCCGGCACGTTCTACATAACGGTGAGCAGGTGTATCTCCCGTTAGCCATTTAAAACTCTCCATGTAAGCGAGGGGCCAACATGCGATGCTTCGGAACAAATCTGCGTGCATAACGAAACCAGCACATTCCGTAACTTGATCAGTGAGCACCCATCTGTCGTAATTGATATTCCCGATCACAACCGACATGACAACGGACCCGTGGCTCAATGGTCGAGTGTCGAACTCCATGACCAAAGGTCCCGAGTTCGAATCTCAAATGGTCCACACTTGGGGTTGGGTATGAGTGGCTGATGACTTCTAATAAGCCAGAAGTGGCTATTCCGGTCTCCCTTGTCTTTGTCTGTAGCATCTCGCAACTTTACTTTCGCTAATGGTTGTTGTCAGCAAGGACCTTCTAAAGGGAGCTCAGCCTTTATACTGGACTCAGCAATGTGCTGTACCTCTCTCAGCAGGTTGACCACACAGTCAACGACGCTTGTACGTGTGTGCCAACTCAACGTCCAACCAGCACGATAGAGAGACCTGTTACCTGCGACCACAAGAACTGTTTGAAATATTCGTCGTTATCTTCCAGCCATTTCTGTGCACTAAAGGCGTAAGGGCTGGGTCTAGCGACTCGCCAATTCGGGCTTGGCTGTCGATGTGAGAGTAGTGAAGGAATATTCAGCCGATATTACACTCAAACCGAAAAATTTTCTTGCATAAATCGTTTCGATCAAGAATACCCCCACCCCCAGTCGGTAGGTGTGTGAGTTTAAATCATAGAAAAATAGGTTTTCACCATAATAAATGCAAAGTCTATCACAAAATGTTAACTGCTGATAGGCCTCAAAAACAGCGAGATCTGCTTAGGGTTTGAGAGAAGATAAAAAACCCAGATGCTTCAGACCGTTTCACGATGTGGCGAATCGTTTTGCAATGACCTGGATCCTATTGAGTATGCTGAAGGCATAAGGCTCCAAAAACAGGCACGATCTTCTCTCCGACTACTCTTGACCACTTCAGTATGGGGAACCATGTTTAGAGTCTGCTGTACTTCATACACCGATTAATTGGGCTTACATATAAATAGCCTCAAATGAAAGCTGAAGGTATTCATTATTTACTTTCAAGGTAAATGTGTGGGTATCTCTAGCTAGCATACTAATGATTCTCTCGGTGTCTAAACACTTGTGGACCTAACTGAAAGTACGCCCATGAACTCCTTGCTAAATATGCCACTACATGGTCCGAAAAAAGCTGGTCGAGCATCGGCACAATTTGTCAATTTTTCTGACCTCTGGAGGTAATGCCGCCGCCACCTGCGTAAGTGATCGTTGATTGGCTGTCACCCCTCATAGCTGTCGCTTTTTCTGTTGCCCATGTCATATCTAACGATTGACTTCTGCACGAGCTCGGAAAAATAGACAAATCGTCCCGGTGCTATACTAGTCTCCTCCCTTCTTATACATACACCTGGAACTCGAACATTCGTCGTCAAATGCTTTTGCGGTTTTCTCTGTTCTCGAGGTTGTCACTTAAACGCGTTTCAAGAGGCTTGCTTTTGATCCGTCTAATAGAATTATCTCACTGTTCTTCCTTCTGTTTTAGGCGGTATACCTAAAAGCACACTCCAGTCTTGACTATTTTGGCTTTGGTTTTACATTTTAGCCCGCAAACGTGAGTCTTCCCAGCCCCTCCGAGTGTCACTCCGGAAGAAGAGTAAAATCGACGAGCCTCCACCCCAAGTTCCCAAATTAGGTGCGTTTTACCTTTCCTGCACATGCTATGGAACTTCGTCACCACTGACGCTGTCTGCATCGACTGTGCGCCCATGCGTGATCCTCTAGGTCGGAACTCTCTTACTCGGTGACCGGAATTTTTTGTGCTCTTTTTGAGTTTTTGCCCGCTTGCGCCCTGGCTTGCATTTTTCGGCAGGTGCTTCCGACTGGGCTGTAGGAACGGACGCGTGCGCCCTTGCGTTCAGTTGGCCCTTGCAAAGAGAAGATGATAGTAGGCGTTCCGAGGAATCATTGAATCTACCCCTGAATGATCGTGGGAAAAGTAGTCATCACTCAGGTTGCGGGGCATACACGTCCCGATGCGCCTTGGGAACCCATCTGCAGTCCTTCCTGCTGTTCTCCATTAGGAGTGTGGTTCGTGCGCGCCTACAACGGGTCACGCGGGGGGTTTTCTGAACGGGGACAGGACTTAGATCGGGACACGGCACGGGTTATTTGGCGGCACGCCTGGGCGCAGGCTCGTGCCGCGCCATCCACCCGCACCCACATCAGATGGCTGACCGGTTCGCACAGTCGACCGATGCTTGGGGGGGAGGTGACGGAGAGAGTGACGTCCATTCTGAGAATTTCGTCCCCACGGAACTCAACGTATGCGCCTCTCAGTATAAACAATCCGACGCGCTTTTAAATCACTACGGTGCCGCTAAAAGCCGTGGCTTGGGAGGCTCCCAACCGACGGGACAATTCGATCCTCCGCACAGAACGGAGAGTCAGGCTGCAATGGTCCCTTCACAATGGCGCTTCCACGCAAATGGGATCCGAGCCGTCCCCTTCTTGTTTTTGTGAAAGCCTGGTCCATCGTGCGTGGACTGGGCGTGTGTGACACGCGCAGCCACCGCGTCCGACCCCTCCTTCCGGGCTCAGGTGGGTGGGTGGCTGGGTGAGGGAGGGGAGAGTAGGTGGGCTAACTCATGAAATGTCAACCGAAATTCCGAAATGTGTTTTCGTTTTGAAAAGATTACTTAAGTAGGGTTGTAAAACTAGACAGCCTGCTACATAATTATATAATATTTCAGTTACCTCAGGATGCCGGCCTTCGAGTGAATTTCCTTCCGACTGCATGCGCAAGCTACACTCTGTAAAAAATGTCTCCTTAAGTAGCATGAATTTTTCTCATTGATTTTTGATTCCCCTAAAAGTCCAAGTATATTTAAAGGAAAACATGCACAGAAATATTCATTCATTTACTCATTCAGTAGATAATTACGTCTTCTTCTAATTTGATGCTCAAAGGAGGGAGATAATTCGATTTTAAAAAGTTTCTAATTGTGGGACTTTTAAATACCGTGAAATGGCCGTTCATAAATCGTCATATCTCTGCATTTACCAATGTGGCTTGTAAAGTTAACAATGTGACTCAAATCCACTGCTAAATTTTATGAACCCAATATCGTCCCCCTTTAGTACAGTAGAGAAATGTGTGGTTTTTCGTACGCGGACATTATACGGCTTGTAGTTTGGAAACCCTGAATGCAAGTGTGACGGCAGAGCAGGTCCAAAATTATTCGGGAAATGGGAAAGTTCTTGAAAACCGAATTATACCCTTCCTTCGAGCATAAGATTGGAAGAAGACGTAATTTTCTACCGAATGAGCAAAAGAATGAGTATTTTTTTGCATGTTTTCCATGAAATATGATGGAATTCTTGAGGGCATCGAAAATCAATGCGAAAAAATCATGCTACTTAAGTAGTCACCTTTTACAGAGTGTAGTTTTTGCATGCGACCAGAAGGAAGTTCGTTCGAAAGCCGGCATCCTGAGGTAACTCAATTATTGTAGAATCATGCAGCACAATGATTAGTTTTGCAACCCTATTTAATTAATCTTTTCGAAACGAAAACGCATTTCAGAATTTCGGTTGACATCTCATGAGTTCGCACATCTACTGTAGTGCAAGTCTACTACTTTGTCAGCCACCGCGTCCCATCCCTCCTTCGGTCTTCTTCGCCCAGTCCTGCCACCGGGCTCAGGTGGGTGGGTGAGGGAGGGAGGAGAGATTGCGGCAGATATAGTGCAAGTCTACTATCACGACAAACTAATTCACGCGTAAGCCACTGTCTCTGCGCCCACCATCCTCTCGGACACATGGTGGACATCGTCGGTAACGAAGGTCTAGCTGTCGTGTCGTCAGTTCGTGCGCAGGAGTGTGGGGGGTGGGGTAGAGCAGCCGCAATCAACGCCCTCATGTTTCCAATGCTATTGGATGGGGACGGGGGAAGGGGGGAACTTTGCCCGGTGGCCTGGTGTGGTGGGGAGGAAGCCCGTGTGGAGGTACACCATCAGTTGTTCAGCCGACTCACGTAAGAACTGCCGAGGAATAGTCCGTTAGACTCGCCCAAGTCCACGTTAACGGGGTTTCCGCTGTTATATTGAAGTCTAAGCAGGCCGTCAGTCAAAACTTTTCCACTCCCCTCTGTCTATCCTGGAAACTATAAGCAGTTTGTAAACGTTGTTTTCATAAGGGATGGACCAACGCTGTAGCAACAGGAGCTCCTCACACTGAATCCACCGTAAGGATATCAGATACTTCCATGGTCCCCACAATCGCATCTTATGCGCGCCCTATCTCACACTCTTGTCCACGTTATAATCCTTCATTTTCGTATCTGTGTATCCTTTTTTTCCCTTTCTACTTCCACATAGATGACACTGCTCGCGCTCCTTCGGCCGTTCCTGGCCCTCCCGTCAAGCCTTCTCCGAAGGCCGGTAGGAAGAAGACGGCCAGTGAAGTCAAGCTACTAATCAAGGGTCTGGCGCCGGTTGACGTGGAATGCGTGGAGAAAGTAAATACTGCCCACGTCTACTCCGAGGCCGGTGTGGTGTACCATTTCATGTTGAACCAGGTATGGTGGCGCTGTCCTTCTATGTGTGTCCTCCGCTTTGCTTGCACAGTGTGGGAGGCCTTTAGGAAGGAGTCATTTACATGGATGGACAGTCGCGTTACATGTCCAGCCACACAAACTGGCCATCCCGCTGTGCCACGATAGTTTGACAGTCGCAAGTGACGACGTCCACTGCCGGATTTAGAGAGTGGACGCTGCAGCAGTAACTTGCACAGCATCTACCGCACCCTCTCTCTCCCCTCGCCCACCTTGCGCCGGTAACAAGACAACGTCATGACAACCGGCGGTGGACGGGGTCACAGTGGCGGACAAAGTTAAACACCACATTCACGTGCGTCACACACACGACCAGGTCCCCGCTTAATGTACCAAGCTACAATAAGGGCGATTCGGACCTTACATCAATGCCGTAAGGGCCACATTAAGGTGGAGTTATTGCAGCCTGACTCCTAGTCATCAGGTTAATCCAAAATACTGCCCTGTCAGTCGACAACGTTCCAATCCACGACTCTTAGCTCCTCGTGATATATACAAGCGTTTCATATCTATTACAGTGAGGAATGTTCTGACTAGCCGTGGGAGTGGATTCCCTATTGCCGACCTCACTTTCTCGCCCCTATCTATGTACCAGTGAACTGTTTGAGCCTGTTAAACAGCGAGGTATTCGACTGGACGCGGTGTCAAGACCTACGGCAGTAGTTATGGACTGGGGCGAATTCAGCGCAGTCGGATAAACACGTGCCGTGGGCCAACCTGACCCCGTTCTGGCCTGGCTCATTCACAGCGCAGCCGGTTGTTAGATCACCCTGTCCTACTTGGTATCTCATTATAATCCATGACCATACGGTGTTCAAGTTGAAGAAGTATGGGATTTTTTTAAATTACTGTCTGATTAACTTTGTGCCTTTGTAAGAAAATATACATGCACCAGTTGGAAGCCAAACCAAACTCAAGAGTGCTCCGAACGGAGCGACTCCGGCACGTTATCCGCCTCGACTGTTGAATGAAGCCATTGTAGGGCTAGCCACGGTGAGATTACGTGCAGTAGCATTCGATTGACATGGACTTGCTATGGCGCGCACGTAAACTGCGGCCCTATGTCAGGTTAGTCACTGTATTTGAATCTTTCTGCAATAGTCTTGACTGGGCCTCGTTACCGGAAGGTGGCGAGATTGGAAGGAGCATGTTCAGCATTGTAATCTAGTTCGTACCCGAGTAAATACTGCTCTCCTCCCCCCTCCTCCCGGTTGTGGTGGTGGCCGTCATCCTGTTCGACGGACGATCGATCCATGGGCGCGTGGTTCGCATTCTCTCCCAACCTGGACGTAGTCCTTTCTAAGGAAAAGTCTGGTCAGAACTCCCTCCGCGGAGAACGAACCGGCAGACAGCTTTAGCATCACTCCGCCGGCATCTAATCCCTCCCGTGTCAAAATCTTGTCTCACTGTAGGATCCTTTTTCTACTATGGTTTAATTGGTGCGCTTTAATCTGCAGACGAATCTGCAACACAACAACAACAAGTACTACATGGGACAACTGCTAGAGGACGATAATGCGCCCGCGTACTCTGTCTGGTTCCGTTGGGGCCGGGTGGGCAAGACACGTCAGCACGCGCTCATCCCCTGCGGCTCCAACCTCCAGTCAGCGCTGGCCATTTTCACCAAGAAGTTTAAAGACAAGACCGGCAATTTGTGGGCTGAGAAGAAGGACTTTGTCAAACAACCCGGCCTCTACGACTTAATTGAACAGGACTTTGGGGTAAGTTCTTTTTTTGTCCGCTTACATCCATCTCCTTCAGGATCTTACTGACTCTGTTCAGCAGGAGGACGGTAATAAGGAGAATGTGGAACCATTGCCATCGAAGCTTCCTCCAGAGGTCATGGTAAGCATTCCTTACTCCGTGCTACCCGACCATCTTTCCCGCCGTTTTGTCTTTTCGGGGCGTGTGAACCATGCTATGTCTGTAGTGTCCCGGTGAATGTCGACTACTGTTCTAGCTCTGAGCGACATCTGGCTAGTCGAGAGTAATAAAGTAACGCTTCCTTTGCCCTCGATGGTCTTCCCTCCTCAGGCATCTAGCCATGAATGAGCGTACTTGCCTCACGACTTCAGATTGCCATGTAAGTTGAAGGCGCGTCGAATTCGTATAGAGTGCTACTTTCTAAAAATCGAATCCACGTCGAGTTTGAAAAGGTCTGCCTGTTCGAACTCGTGTCACAACATTCAAACAGCCCTGTTCAGTTCAAAGGTCCTTACACCGAGACGTGGGCACGAAACCCTCACGAACTTTGGCACCAAATGTCCTCACGGAGTCGTAGGGCGTTCCTATTGGTTGACTCGCGTCGGTTTGCGACATCGAGGTCACTTAGCAGTTTGTTGACTTACTGTCCTACAAAAACGAGATTAAAATTGTTCCTAAGAAACCACCAGCGGTCCTCTGACGTACCCTGGTCAAATTTGCCTGCGCTCAAGTCCGCCTTTATCACCTGTTCGGCTTTAAACACCCATAATGCAAGAGCAGGGCTGGAGTATTGATTGCAGCTCCGACTTCTCGGGACTTGTATGCATGCATTCCTGAGCTCCTCTTGCCCGCGTAAAACAAGGAGCTGCGCCCACCGGGTAGTTTTTTCTGGTCGCATCTCAACAGCCTCCGGGGCCTGCGTCTCGGCCATCAGAATGGCCAACGCACCAGTCCATAAGGGGCCCATGGTGACCGCAATGAGGTCATTCGAGAGATAACTCGGATCACCGATGGGGCCCTCACCGACTGCACGCCCGCCCCTTTCCCTTGATTTTCCGGCTGCGTATCGTACTTTGTGCTGGCCGCTTAGGTGCTCTAACGCACACACACATGGTCCTTGCAGTGCCGTTAAAGCCTTGTCGCAAGAGCCCTGCGCTGTTGATCAATCCAGCGGAGCCTTCTCCGCACTGAATGGACAGTCTACCAGAGCGATTCTGGAATTTGGTGGCCTGTCATATTTCTTCGCAAGCATCTTGCGGTCCCTCGAGGGTTTTAGGGTCGGTGGGAAAGACAGACTTGTTCGAATGGATCGTTCCTCAATCCCCGTCCTCTGCGTTCATCGAGTTCCCGCCTCTCTCGGGGACAGTAACTAATACCACGGGGGCGGTTTCAGGTCACGTGTTTGGTGTGAAAGAACGCGTGGACACAGTGAAGGCATGAGGCGAGACAGCCTTACGACCAATTGTTACGCGACAACCAATTAATGACAAGCGTGTGGCCGAGCCGTGTCATTTACATTTCCACGATTTAGTCCCGAACGTACCTTCGATCACCCTTGTACCGCCTTTGCCTCCCTACGCATGCCTTTTCCTGGAAAATAGCGGACCCACTTGGCGGCTCAGGAAGTGGTCACTACTAAATTAGGGTAATTTTAACCAGTTTTTCATGTCCATGTGCTAATTCAAGTTTGTCTTTTTCTTAGAAATCCGTCAGTTAATCGCTTTTCAGAAATGTACCTCCCTCTGCTAACGAATATCATGAAGGTCCGATTAATTAGCCCACCGCGTAACTGGGTCAGTCGTCTAGTTAAGACAAAATGTCCAAAAACAGATACAGACCCTATGTTTTACTGTGAATTAACTCCACATATTAGGGGCACAGTCCGGCTTCTTTGCGCGGATGATAGTTCCAAGCCAGAATTCGGGAAAACAGAGTCGCGGACATAGCCTGCATTTCCGATAGACAAGGAGGCGGTCTGTTAGCCTGAAATTCAGTCAGTTGGTCTCACAGGCCCAAAGTGGGCTTGGCAGCGCACAGGGCACGTCATCCGGCGGGGCAGCCTGGCAACAGATGTCGGACGGGTTGTCCGACGGAAGACGAGGTGGGGCGGTGGGTGGGTGTTATGTAGATGACCGTCGGCTGACCCAAGCTAACGTCAATTTCGCGTGTTCACACCACTTACTCGCACACAGCCAAGGTGCATGATAAAGTGTTGAAATTAACTAAGAAAAAATCTGCCCTAGCAGTCCAACTGAATAACCGATAGTCCAACACTACTTACCACCAATTGGCAGGCAAGGTGAGTATGCCAATGCCTGCAATCGCGTGTGATACAATAGCGCAGCAAACTGTGATATTAAGAGGTATTACTCGAAGGACATCCCGTGGGCAGAAACGGGACAGGAAGAACCCAGGCGTTGAGTGCCTTCCTAGTCCATGGTTCTCCATCTTAACTTTTGAATAGAAGTACTGTATAAATGAAGAAGAAGAGTCGAGTGCCGGAACACTGTGTTTATTGTCCTGAGCTTTCAGATTCGTACAGGAGTCCATCGTCAGAGGTAGCAGCAGCAGCAGAACAAACGACAGTTATAAGGCACGTAGGCCAATCATCGACCGATGGCGCAAGACTGGAGGTGACTACGCAGGGCTCTGTATGCCGGCGCCAGATCGATAAATCGATTGATCGAGTTCTCACCCGAGGCCCAGGCTTCAATCAATTCTCGGCCTGTTTTGGTTCCGGCGTGGGCGACTATTTTGGTTGCTGCGAAGTTAAACTCGTGACCCATTTCGTAGGTGTACTGTAATCAGATATACTTCTTTGAGGTTTCTTGGGGACTTTGTGCACAGGTGGGTCATCGACCTCACTCGGATTGTTTGTTCGAGGTTGTCTCCTTCAGCGCTTTAGCTCAGGAACCTAACCACAAGGCAGCGGTGGCGAGCAAACCTATCTTATTGCGATTCGTGGCCGCCGCATCACAGTGTCGTCAGCGGGCTTTGCTGCACTTTATAAAGCTCTCAATAATTTGTCCAATCACTCATTCAGTCGTAAAATCGCATTGTAGTGGTGTGGACCGATTAGTAGGAGTCCATCCTATCCCAGGCCACTAGATTGTTAGTTTTTTAGAATGAATACTTAGCTGGGCATGCTTCTTGCGAGCCACTACTTGTCCGGAGAACGAGCACACCAGTCCTCCGCAAACTCGGTCCCATCTGCCCTGCCGTGTCTAATCGCCTGTTCGGCTCTCCCTCCCCCTTACAGGCCCTAATTATGCTCATCTGTGACGTGAAGGCCATGGAACGGACTATGCGGGAAATGAATTATGACTCAAGACGTCTACCACTGGGCAAACTGACACCTTCCCAGATCAACGCAGGTTACAATGCGCTGAGCATCATATCTCAGTGCTTGGACCAGCTGGAGAAGTTGAAGCATCCGCCACCATCGACTGAAATTCCAGGAGCTAAAAAACGGCCGAAGAGGGTGCCCTCATCCGTTTCCGAGTCCGCACGAATTCGCCGCGACCTTCTAGAGGCCTGTAATCTCTTTTACACGCGTGTCCCGCATGACTTTGGGTTCGTCTCTTGGGGCTTCTATTAAAAGTGTTTATGTTCTACTAATACAACAACAGTAGCAATGGTTGTGTAACTTTATAACAGTTTTGTTCCCCTTATGTACTCGCATTTGATCTGCCTGCCGTCATGGCTGATCTAGCCAGTTTCAATGATGTAGCGGATCGAACCTCTCCATGTTTGACAATCAGCAACAGCAGATCCGGCGAACTTGACCCAGCCACTTCTCCAATAACAGAGACCTAACGTTTGCTTTGTCTGCCCTCTAGAATGCGGATGCCACCCTTGATTGATACTCCGGACGCTGTCAAGGTCGAATTGGATCTCATGAAGTCCTTGCAAGACATAGAAGTCGCCTTCAACATCATTCAGCGTGAAAATCGAGATAATTTACATCCGGCCGACCGGCATTACCAAGCACTCAACTGCAACATCAGTCCGCTGGCTGCAGAGGACAAAATGCTTGAAGTACGCCCTTCACTTCTTATTCCATTTGTCTTCTCGAGTGTGTGCATTCGAACCGGCAACTTGTTTTTGTTTACCATTCTTTGTTGGAGTGGAATAGATGGGTTTTTTTAACTTCTCGAAACCATCTACGACTCAGGTGGCCATCAGCCACTCTCAAGTCTGATTGGTTATCCCCCACCGTGTGCGTCAGACACGGCCTCTTCTCCCTCGTCGTCGATTACAGCGGCGCATCAGAAGCGTACACTCACCAAAAGCCCAGAGTTCCTCGACATATCTCCGCGTTCTCGCTTCATCCTCTGCTCAGACCACTGCGAGACTCCTAGTTTCCCGACGCGAAAGTAGTTCAGCAGTGCGTCATTTTCTAGAGACGCGCAGGTATGCTGGTGGTGCAGTGGATCTTGATGACTAGGATTTACGAAATAGCAATTAACGTGATGCCGACAGTATGCATGACTTCGAACCAAGGAGAAAGCCCTCAGAATCGCAATCCGTAACTTTGTATAGTATATTTGGGGTAATAGGCAATGTCCTTGTGTGTACTAAGGCTGAGGCAGCAGGGAAGGTGCCGAGACGCGCTCTGTATTGTAGTGTCTCCTGTTGCCGGTGCCTAGAAAGGAACTTGCAAGTTGACGGAAGATTGGTTAGGTCAGTAACGAAGGTCTTCCTTGCCGTCCCCTTCGCAGAGGGTAGCATCTACATTTAATTTGCGCAAGACGCTCGGTTTTGATTACTCTCAAGGGTTAGGTCACGCGCGTTTGCCATGTCGACTTTTGTTTGCTCGTGGCGCCAGTAACAAAAAGAACTCCGCTGCCTGTTTCGCAGACGGTCAATACATGTGGTCCATTGGCCAGATAGTTTTCATCATTCTCCCTCGTTAGCCTCTGCGTCATAGATCCCGGGAGGCAATGGAAAAATATCAGTTAGCCGTGTACAGTACAGGAAGATTTTCACCGAAGTATGACACCCATGAGGCTAAGTATCGTTACACAGTCCTCTTCTTGAATCTGACGTCCAGTCTTGTGTACTGGCGGTATAGCGACCCTACTCGGATCGTCCGCTGCAACACCGCGCCGCTGTCTGACGCATACTTGCCCGCACTCGTCAGCGAACGTCGTTCATCTGACATTGCGGGGCCCTGTATAATGATCCTATCGCGTCTGGCCAATGCCTGAACCCCAGAGGCTCCGTCTGGTTTTCATCCAATCGCGCCTATCCAGACCGGCCAATCAACTTCAAATCTGACGATCAAGACACTCGGACGCCTGCCCCCCCCCCCCCCCCCCCTTCAGCGCCGGACCCGCGCCTCTTGCCCAGCTGCCAATCTGCTGACCCAGCATATTCCTCCTTCATTCTGCACATAACTCAATTCTACCTCCACTGGCGTCTAACTTATCCTCTTCCTACTCGGAACTTGACCTGAAAGTTGTGGTGGTTAGGTTTTGCCGCGACAGAGGTCATTTGTTACCACTCTTTTTGGGGCTTACGCCGTCACTTCTCGGCCCCCTCCGACTCTCTCTCTTAGGCTGACTTAGGCTTAAGCCTCTTGGTACTTCGCAAATTCAATTTCTTATCTCGTGTCAAGCTCTAGAAAACTCCGATGTTACCTACGGTGTTTTTGGTACTTCAGTTGCTGAGGCGGGGGACGAGGTGTGTAGGCTGAGCCGCCACCCAATCAATTCCGTCTGTCCCTCCCAGCTTCCATGTTTATCCCTTGCAGGTGATCAGAAATTATGTGCAGTGGACCCATGCGCCTACTCACTCCAGCTACGATCTTGAGGTGCTCAACGTTTTTGCCTGTAACAGACACGGGGAGGACAAGGACTTCCGCGACGTTGGAAGGCGGTACGTGTATTAACCCTTGGCAGTAAAAGCCCGTTTCGCCCACTTTATCCGCAGTCACATCAGTTAGGATCTGGTTAGGCTGAACCCCCCCTCTAAACTGCCGTCTTTAGGTACCTGCTCTGGCACGGTAGTCGTCTGACCAACTGGATGGGCATCCTCGGACGCGGCCTGCGCATTGCACCGCCCGAAGCACCCTGCACCGGCTACATGTTCGGAAAGGGCATCTACTTCGCCGACTGCGCCTCCAAGTCTGCCAACTACGCCTACGCCAGCCGAGATCGAAATACCGGTCTTTTGGCTCTGTGTGAGGTGAGGTTCCCTGCCCTCCCCCAACTTCCTTGTTCGTCCATACAACTTGCGCCGTTCTTGACTCCCTCTTTTGTCTTCTCTTATTTAAAAGGTCTCACTCGGAGAGTCCAATGAACTGTTTGATGCTGACTACAAGGCCGACGCACTTCCAACGGGAAAGCATAGTGTAATGGGCGTCGGTCGCAGCACACCCGACCCGCATACCTGGATAACCCTGTGAGTCGGCGTATTTTTACGACGTTCTCTCCTTGGCTTAACTTTTCTATTGTCTCCGATATTTGCCGTCCAAATGGCTCTACTATTCGTCATGTTTGGGGCTGTGGTGTTAGTCTTTCCCAGAGGGCGGCACTGGAAAATCCATCTCCACGGCAAATCAGCGCCTAAGAGCCGCTGCCTGGAGACTTGCCAACTGACTGGATAATTCGGTCCTCATGGGAAGTATTTTTGAGCCACCGGAGGGCTGAGAGCCAGGCTGCAATGGCTCCTCCTCGACGGGACCTTTATGACATTCTCGCCCACATGAGGTCCGATCCGCGTAGCGCATGTAGCTGGAACAAAGTCGTGTGTATTGCACGCGTAGACGGGCCGTTTAAATTTTTCAGTCAGTGCGCCCGCCCTCATCTTCGACCGTCTTGGCTCTGTCTTGCCGTCAGGGTCTTGTGGGTGAGGGAGGGTAAAGTGCGGTAAATGCCGCGCAAGTCGACTTCGCAATGGACGAATTCCCACCCAAGTCGCCGTTGATGCACCCGCCCCGTGGGGCACGCGGTGGACGCCGTTGTTTACGACGGACGAACTGTCAGCCCTGCCCCGTCGGCTCACAAAGTCGCATGATGCCACCTATGCATACACTCGCTTCAGCACACTCCCAACACAGAAGTCGTCTGATGTCAGCTTGAATCTTTACATGAACTTTTTTGACTGGCCGAACAGGTGTGGATTCTGAGGATTTACTTTCTTCTCAAAATCATCATTTTAAGCGTTTAGTTCCTGACCGAGCGTTGTTTAGAGGTCTTCATCTTGCGGAAACTCCTTTTGAGGCTGGCTTTTTGAGGGCAGGCTTGTTGTATTACCTTCTGCACACAGTTGAGCCGGTGCTCGAACCTTTAAATGTATTTTCAGGCGGGAAGTATTGCAGTGTCGGCCAGCTGTCCCAACTACCACCAACCGAAAACCAGTGCTTAAGCATTCTGTATTTCTTTATCTTATTATTGGTGCTCATATACATTTAAGTATATAACCCTGAATGTTTACGTGCAATTCCCATTTATTATTGTATAGGAAATTACGTCTTCTCGAACTTCGCTGTTTGAAAGCGGAGAACACTTTGACCGGGAACGTTCTAGACCTCGTACATGTTTTAAGAAACAAAATGTCTTTTCACTTATAGAACGATTTCCGGCATTGGCCAATTTCAGTTGCTAGGCTGTCGCGCCGCGTCAGGCGTCGTGACTACTGTCAATATCTGGCTGGGCTGCTCATTTAATCTTCTGCGCTGCCAGGCCCACTGTGGGTCATGGAGACTAACTTATTGAAATTCAAATTACCAAGCCGTCTTTTTTGTCTTTTCGAAATGCGGACTATCTCTACGGCCTTGTTTTACCGAATTCTGGCTTGGAGCACTTGTTTGTGCAAATAAGTAGACCGAATTCACAGTAACGCATACTTTTTACTTCCGTTGTTCAATACCTGGGCCAACCCAAGCGGCTGACTTACTTACGCGTAGGCCGGATTAACGGGAATCCACTTTTCGCCTGGGGTAATTGCTCTTTCCAACCATCACCTCCGTGCCATGATTTTAAATCGTTCAGACGACCGCGTTAATATTAACTGCCAGTGTCGTCATATGGCTTCCAAGCGGTGTTTGCTGTTTGTGTGTAAACATGTTTCCTCCAGGATATCGATAGAATAATGCCCAACGCTTCCTCCACTTCTCGAGGAATATTTTCGCAGGCCCACAATCCAATATCTATCCCAATTCTGTTTTCTATTCGCTGTAATGGTAAGGAGCGAATGGAACCACATGGTCGAGTGATTTTTCTCGAAAGGGTAAGTCGAAAGGCAGCTGAGAACAACTTGCAATGACAGGCCGTGAATGCCCCTTGATTGCCTCTACACAGGAGGTATACTGATGGCAGTATGCACTTGGATCAAAAATATACCTCCGTCTTCTGAATACTCTGCAAATGTGATGAAGCACTCCACTTGTAGACCAGGAAATAAGGCCATTTCGAAAATAATGGCGTCCTTTTTGTCCGCATTCTGGCTTCTATCACGGCCGAAACTTAAAACTCTGCGATTCCTTTTTATTTGCAAAAATATTCAGTAACGAATTGATCTCAGTATTATCCACAAAGACTAGCAGGCTTAGAGTGACCATCTTGCGACGTATTTGCCACCGTTAGGTAGTCAAACCCCCTCGCCTGACGCATCCTAGATTTAAACCTAGGTCCAGTCAGCCTGCGGTCAACGCCCTATTAGTTAAGCGCCAGGCTTGTCCTCTCTCGGCTGCGATTGGGTATATTTTGGTCAGATGAAGTTGACTCCCACCGATTAGGCCGAGTAGAACGTCACGCGAGTGTCCCGTTTGGTCTTCTGGTCTGTTCTAAAGCCCTCAAACTGTCTTGTAACCACAAGGACTACCAGCATGCGTGTTATTTGCTGTCCTTCACTCCGCATTTACGTTGATTGCACAGCAGTTGGCCGTAACTGAGATACGGGGGCGGGTGTCGTACTTTACGCCTACGTTCGTGCTACTTATTTTCATCGAGTAATTGGGATTTATGTATTATAACTTTTGTGCAGTCGATGTGCGTCTGCTCTTAGGGGGGGAGGGGGGGAGGGTTCTTGTATTTTACACCAGTGCAAGTCCCTTTTGTAATGCTTGATGTCGTGCTCCATACTTGTTAGAAACCCCCTACGCTGCCCCATCTTTACCTATAAAATGCTATCCTTTCATTTCCCTCTCTCACTTTGGTTGACTTCAGGTCAGACGGAGTTGTTGTGCCGTGTGGCCGACTCATTGAGGCTAACCCGCCCCAACAGACAAGTCTCCTCTACAATGAGTATGTAGTCTACCGGCACGACCAGGTTCGCCTTCGCTATCTGGTGCAGTTGCGTTTCAACTACAAGTACTAATCCCACCTCGACCGAAGATGTCCTCAGAACACCCTGAGCATTTAGTCCCTACCCCCTACTTTGGGGTTATTTTTAAAAACCAAGCTTTTCGCATCTTTTTGATGCCCTTTGTTTCAAATTGCAGCCTCTTTTTAATACAGTAACACCCTCCTTTGCCGTTTGGCCTTTCATATTGAGGAACTGCTCACTAGTCCGGTCGTCATGTATTTTCTGCATATGCACCTCCAAACGATATTGCCTCTGAAAGCAACGCCTTCCGAAGGAATTTTTTACCATTGAGTATCATGCCGTGCCTTGTACAGAGCTGTTGCTCACGCCTATGATTACAATAGAACAGTGGCTCTAAAGTTCTGGCTTTTCCGTGAGACTTGTAGACTTTAGTTCGCCGATGTACTTTACAATGACGAGCAGCCCTCCCGTACTAACTGCCCATAATGTATTAGGACATGAGACATCCAAATTTAAAACAAATTTAATGCTCATTTAAATCAGGGAAACTTGAAACTCCTGGTGACATGATTGGACGGGAGTGGGGAGCCTCCAGATCGAAAAATTTCGTCTGCCTTAATCATGTAAAACTTGTTCAGCTGCACTCCTTATGCCTCCACCATCCTTATCTGCGACTGTCTCTGATGATGGGTTCGGGTGAGAATTTGAAATTTCAGGTAAATAAACTTTTTGATTCGGCGATTGTGTCTACTGTCGTCCAACCTGTATCAACAGACAAGCTGTCAGCCTACAAACACGGAGCCTCGCTGGATACGAAAACAAATCAGTGAGTGATATACAGCTGGGCCTGATGACGTCCACGTAGATGTCAGTCAATAGGAGAGGTGGGAGCGTGTGAAAGACCAAAGGCGAGACTGAGCGGGATGGCGGTCAGCACATCTTCCTTATTACATTTCTCCACATATCGTTAGGTCTACTACCCCGTGCGTTGGCACATTTTCTAAGGAGGACATCGCCAGCTGGTAATCTTTCATTGCACTTGCCCCAGTCCCATGACAGAATCTCTCGGGGTAGGAGGAATCCACCGATATTTTGGGCACGTAGATCTACTGCCGAAGTGCCGTATAACTTCCCACCTTTAGCCTTCCTTGTTACTGTTTGTTGAGCTTCATTTTTGTGCGAAAATGTACCTTAATCCGGAATGGCCAGAACAGATTGCACTTTAAGTGCCTGTTAAACAGGGGGAATGGATCAAGCTCTTTCAACGTATCCTGGTACGATAAATCCCTAAGACCACTGATCACCTCCGCGGTCCCGGGCTGTACCCCTTCGAGGCGATCAATATCTTTCCCCATCTACGGTGTCTGGGCGGGCATTCCGTAATCCAGGTGGCGCCTCACGAAGACGCCGACAATTTTTTCCGAAAAAGGGTCAGGGGGAAATGCTTTAAACGCGCACCTCTAGACCACTGTAACGTACCAATTACCTTCTAGATCGCCTTCTTGCGATGTCTTGACGCCACCAATTTCGCGATCGTCCACATGCCCAGATCTTTGTGCGTTTCCACACCTTTTAATGCACTGTCGTCAATAAAGTACTGATTTTTTGGAAATAATTTTCTACCGACGCTATGGTGTACGACCACGCACTTGGATATAATAAACTTGAGAGGTTGCCTGTTCGACAGTATACTCAGTTTGTTTATGTTCGATCGCAAATTTTTGCGTCGTCATCGGAGTTGACTTCAACCTATATTTTTATATCGTCGCGAACATGACGGCTTCAAAACCAAATTCCCTGTTGCAGTCATTCATATAGAGCAGGAAGATTATTTGGCCTAAAACATAACCCTGTCGGTCACCACTTCTAACCTTTATCCTTTTGTTGGGATAAATTTCCAACAAAACCTCTGCACTCCAGAGGGCAGGAAGTTTTCGACCCATTTGAACATTACTCCTCCAATTCCTATCCCCCAGATTTTCTGTAAATGGAGTCGGTTTAGTATGCTATTGAAGGTCTTCCCGGAGTAAAAAAAAAAGTACGGTATCTATTGGGCCCCCACTCTCCGGGGCTTTTGTCCACTTCGCATGTGAGAAATGGATACTCGGAGGCAAACGCGTCCTTGACGATAGCCGTGATGGACATTGCATAATAGGTTGTTTTTCTTCAAACAATGTATTAAATGTCTTTTATAATGTGCTCCATTTTTTACCACGAGATGCATGTCAAACTGAGTGGACGGTAATTTTCGACGTCTATCCTTGAACCTCCTCGATAGATCGGGTGATAAGTATGCTCCTCCATTCTTCCGGGAGTTTGCCCTCTTCGAAAGACTTCAGGGTAACGATAGGGTGTAGGACCCACAAGTAGATAGCAACTACAAAAATGCGCCCTAAAATGCAGTGTGATTGTAAGCATTCCTTGTTATTCACCGTTCTCATTGTTTTAAATTCCCTTTCCTTCCTGACTAAATGTTAACTTACAAGCGGTGTTTTATTCAAAGTCCGTTACTTTTTGAAGTTGCTCTTTGTTTATTTTTTTAATTATCGCACTCACTTTGTTTGCCAAATGAGACAGAGTACGATAAGACTTTAGGCAGAAATTTAGCTATTTTCTGTCTTCTTTCTCTCCGGCCTGTGTGTTGCCCCACCCCAAAAACCCCTTCCACCACCATTCAACGTATGACATGGTTCACAGGCTAGCTCAAGTTATTTGTGGGTCCTACACCCTATCGTTGCCGACTTCTGGAATACTAGGGATAATAGTTCGCTTGGTGCACTGACAAGTTAATCTTCTCTGTATCGTTCCAATTTTGGTATATGTACCGCCGAAGCGAGTTCTCGAAGTGCGAGTGCAGGTGTTTTTGTCCGAACCACGTAATTTGGGGGGGGGGGGTTCCATTAGAGTATTTCCTCGCCCTACTGGAGTCGCCAAAGGAACACAGTTCCTCTGTTGATGAAGGGGGGGAGTAAATTAGTTGGTGGACGCGTGAAGGGGAGGAAAAAGAATTAGAATCCCGAGTGAAGACTACTGAAGTGCTTTGACTCTGTCAGCAGTCTTAGATGTTCCGTCTGGAGACCTAATGCTGGGTTTTTTCAGTGCCCCGTAGATAGCCATACAAGATTTCGTTGTGTTTCGGTGAATTTTGCAACATGTTCAGCTCAAATTTACTTCGAAGCAAAGTCACTTGGTTTTGGCGAATTTTCCGTTTATGCCTGCATTCTTGTAAGTGCTAATTAGTGCCAGTTAGCATTATAGCGTTCCCAAAAGATATTCCTTCCTTTAAAAGAGACCTCAAGTTCCAGGTTCATTCACTTCCGAGAATTAATGGTTGTCTTCCTGTTGGGAGAACAGTCGCGGTAGCCGATCCTCCGCAGAAAAGAACTGAAGGCCCTCCAATGGTTATTTATTGTACCACGCAATTCAGTCTCCCATGGCATCTCCGAGTCTTGTTTTATCCTAAATGGGCAGGCTCCTTTTCAGCTGTTTCTTTCCCGCCTATCAGACAGATGCGATTTAGAAAACTTTGAGCATTCGAAGTACGGAGCAATGTGACCACTTGGTTCTATTGTTGGTAGGTCTCGTAGGACAAGCACGTTCTCTTCCCCCCTAATAAAGTTATGATTCAGAGAGTTTGGCTGTTTTCTTTCTCCATTGCGTTTGCCAAAAGTAGCTTTCTGGTAGTGAAGCTTTTCCGTTGCCCATTGGAGCAATTTGTTATTAAAGCAATCTGGTAGACCCTTCGCGGGTCATGTTTTCCAGTAACCTTAAAATCCCCACCTTCTCACGAACTTCGCGCAGTCTATTTATAAGAATGAGATCGTGGCCTAGTTAGGCAAACGGTATGCCATCGATAGCATTAGCGGTCGGGCATATCTAGTGGAAGTACTAATGCATAACAGTTCCACTTCTTTTGGGGAAATATGTATTTCCGCGACGGTGATTAGTCTACGGGTGGCATAAGCTATAACCCCTTCTCCTCAGTTCGGTCTATCTCTTCTGGACTGTTGATATCCCCTGAGGGTATTTCGGATTCTGCTATATCTGCAGTAAGCCACATTTCTGCGCAAACCGTAATGCCTCGCTCCATTTCATCAACTAAGTCCCGAGTTCGTCCAGTTTGTTGAACAGGCTTTGTACCTTTGCAAACATGAACTTCACTGATCTACTCGTCGGAAGGACCCAGTCTCCATTTTATGGTGGGTTTTGTCCGCAGAAAGGACTCCTTGATTTGGATTATTTCACCATCTACCGTTTTCATTCTCTTTTTCCCTCGGTCTATCCTCTCCTTCAGTTCTATCTACAGTGTTCTCATCTTCACTTCTTCCCTCTGCTCGTGTTTCTACATAAAAAACATTTTATTGTGCGAATTCCTCAGTTCACTCACTTTCAGTTTTTTTTCCCGGTTCGTTGTCTGATTGAAAAAAGCCCTTATTTGTATGGAAGCTCTAATGCCATTCTTTTTTCGAGCACTCCCTGGGCTTCATTTCCCAGAAGGATTTAAGGGAGCCTTTGAAGTGATCCCAGGTCGTGACCTGACTGTGCTTTGCCCATTTGGAGAGTTTTTTTGTATGGTCATAAGTTTTCACATCGTGCAGGACAGTTATGGTACAATCACGAAGGAGATTTAGGTAGTGCGCCACCCGTTCCCTCGGGGTGCCTGACGCAGACTCTGGACAACCCCCTAAGCAGATATTCCGATTGTGATTTATGCGCGAGTTCTTTGGTTTCCTCATCTGCATTAGGATGGTTTATTGCCACTGTCGCGGGTGATGTCTTATCTACATTATGATGATTTTTGTCTGAGCTGAAAGTTGTGGAACCTGACGTGCTGACTTGCGACCTGGAAACTTTCAGACTTTTTACCCTGCTGTCATGTGCCGTGCACAGAGTTAACATGCCGGTTCCATAAAATGGTTTCTGATCGCACGCCTTATCCAAGCTGATCCTACTATGAAGTATAATGGCAACATCACTTTATAGAATCAATTACGAGTCCTTCTTGTGGTTCCTCGTGCGTCGTCCGAGGTTCGCCCGGGCGAACAGGCTTT